GGAGCCTCAGGACAACTCTCTTCATCAACCGCATGGTCTAGAGGGCAAAGGTACCGCTCCAGGCTGAGTGCATCCATGTACGGGGCGGGATCGAACTTCGGGGCCGTGCCAAACTCCAAGCGAGAAGCTATCACAGGCTTAGCAGTCATACTACTCGAGTGATCACCGCGAGCCTCGCTCGCGAAGTCGAGCTCCACAGGATCCCCCATCCGGGGAGCCCCCAAGCCATGACTGTAGCCTCGGCAAAGCACAGCTAGTTTCTCTGTCTTGTTTCGAAGACCTTCGGCGATCTCCTCCAAATTCTCGATCTTTGAAGCCACACGTCCCATCTCCTCAGCAGACACGGGCGAGTGGCAAATGATTTCTCGCACCATCCCCTCCAGCCGCCCCACATGAGCCCATTGCTCGTCATCGAGTGCTCGCTTCCCGCGGATGAGCGAGGGAGTCGAGCGCGACCTGCCGAGGTGAAGCCAAGACAAAGCAGCCACTAACAAGTTCAGGGCGACTTTCAAGGCATCCTCCTGACGAGCATCTGAGGCGCAACATCCTTGGTTTTTCCGCACCTCGCTGGCTCCAAAGTAGGGCAAAGGCATCGGCCAGGGAGACAATGCGGCACGTCCAACTTCAGGACATTCGTGGGCATACTCAAAATAGCTGCTGAAAAACTGAGCGAAAGCATTATCGCATGATAGCAAAAGACGAGGGAGGGCTTTCCAAAGAGCAGCGGGATCAACGGTTGTTGCACCAGACCCAGGAACCCTTACCAGCTCCAACGATGCTCCAGGACGAGCCTCTTCCCGCGTAGGGCCGGCTGTACTGCTTTGGGGCCCGGCCGCCCCACAAGAACTATCCATCACTTCTCCTCGGAAGCCGAGGCTCCCTTTGACCCTCGGCCTCTGCCTTTCGGGGGCTTCTTCGGCCCCGCAGGTGTCTCCTCGGCATGGGTGCGCTGCGGCGGAGCACCACCATCTTCGCCTCGGCGCGAGCCGCCCCCCCCAAGCTTGCGACGGGTTTCCAGGTAGAGGTCGACCTCCCGAAGCCTCGCCAGGAAGATCTCCATCCATCGTGCATCGACGAGCTTGGTGAACGGAACCTCCGCGCCGCTCGGGAGAGTGTGCGAAGTGAACGAGGTGAACGGCGGGGGATCTTCGAGAAGAACTTCCCCCGCCACATTCCAGCTGCCTTTGTCTATGGACAGCTGATCTCCGGCAGCCAAGCCGAGGAGGGACCTCAGGTAAGCCTC